AATCCAATTCGTTGGGCGTCGAGACCAAGTCCAACACATTTCCTTTGGCGGCCTTCTCCCACCCCTCGAGCAAGATGATGGGCCATGGCGCTCTCAGCTCCGTCAACTCATCGTCGAGTACGTCACCGGAGCGGTCTCCTGATTCCCCAGCGGCAAGAGAAGACTACCTTGTGGTGCCGATCTCACTCCGACCCACCTGTCTGTTCCTGTCGTCGTATCAGTGATGCATGCCACCCGTTCGACCTTTTGATTTCTCTCTCTATCGTAGAATTTTATTATTATTAAATATTTTATTTAATAATAATGTAATCGTTCTCATTAAGTTTATCATTCATTATAATCAATTTTTTTTATTTATTATGATTTAAATATTTTAGTTTTTTATTATAAATAAATCATTATTATTAAATATTTTATTTAATATTATTAATATTCTTCATGGTCTAAATGTTATAAATTTGAATTAATTATTGAATGTTATAAGTTGGTGATAATAAATGTTTTTGATGGGAGAATATATATATAAACGAGAGTTTTGATCCTTAGGCTCAACATATCTTTCAAGTCTAAAGGATTTCCTATATCATCTAAAGCGAGAATTTGTAATCGAGAAATATTAAAATTTAAGAAGAAATCATTGCTGAAATTCTTGACAACAATAGTTGAAGGTATGCAATTTCGTTTCTGCATTAGTTTTTTTCTTGTGTTTCTATTATAATGGTTTAGAAACATATTTTAGTATCAAAATTTTTAATAGTTGGTATCAGAGTCAATTGACCTCTGTCTTGATATGAAAGAGTTTTTATTTTTATACCATGAATATGATTTTACTTTGATCTTTTTTTAAAATTTTTTTGATATATTTCATGTTGAAAATCATGAGGATATAACATTTCAATATTTAGAGTCAATAAAATGCTCATATTATGTATGTATATTTGGTCATATTAATTTATACTTATGAATCAATTTTATATGTCCAAAATGTCTAGTGATCCATATAATCTTAATTAATTAGGAATTAGCTATAACATTCTTAATTAATTAAAATTATATATAAAGTTAAAATAAGGATCACATAAGTAATTAGACATCATGTTATGACTGATTATATTTAATATAATAATTATTATCCCATAGGATCTTTTATTATATTTAATATAATTAATCAGGATAAAATATCAGATTATTTTCATAATTTACCCACATGGATTATAAATTGGAATATAATTTAATAGTTTTATCATAAAGATCATTTGAATCTATTTGAATTAAAATTTTAGTCCAGAAGCAATTTTTATGTCATGAGATTCATATTTTGGCATATTTCACATTACTAAAATATGCAATTTAAACTATTAAGTCTTAAATTTTCACATAAACATGTTTGATTTTATGTAGTTTCTCAAACTGTTAATTTCTCTAATATTCGATGTGACATTCTCGAACTTAGTGGTGATAACTATAAGATATAGAAGGAGAGGATTCTCGTCCATTTAGGATGGATGAATATTGATTATGCTTAGGAAAGATGAACCACCTACAGTCACTAATACTAGCACTCTAACTGAGGTCACGTTATATGAGCGATCCAATCGGCTCAGTGTGATGTTTATCAAAACTAAGATAACTGCTGGCATACGTGGTTTTGTTGACCAGCATGAGAAGGTCTGAGACTTGCTACCATCTATTGATGAGCAATTGATCACTTCGGAAAAGGCACTAGCAAGTATCATAATAATGAAATTCTTATCCCTTAGCCTTACCAACATAAAGGGTATACGTGAGCATATAATGTAAATGCGAGATATTATGGCTTAACTTAAGAAACTCGAGGTTAATATGTCAGAATCTTTCCTAGTGTACTATGTTCTTAACACCCTTCCACATTAATACATGTCTTTTAAGATTTTATACAATACACATGAGGACAAATGGTCAACCGATAAATTAATGACCATATGTGTTCAAGAAAAAGAGAGGCTAGTGATGAAACTAGGAGAGTGCATTGGTAGTAACGACTTGTGGGAAGAATAAAACTAACAAAAATCAAGCTAATTAGTAGAGAAAAGGTAAAATACCACCCCAAACTAATATCAAGCAAGAAGCAAAGTGTTTCTTTTATAAAAGGAAGAGACACATGAAGAAGGAATATACGAAATTCCAATAATGGTTTGAAAAGAAAGGTAAACCAACCTCGTTTGTGTGTTATAAATCTAATATGGTTAATGTTAATATTAACACTTGGTGGATTGACTCTAGATCAACAATCCATATTGTAAACTCTTTGTAGGGTATGCAAAACCTAAAGAAGCCAGTGGGAAGAGAGCAAAGCATCTTATCAGGTAATAAGATGGGCTCACATGTGGAGGCAATTGGAACATGTAGTTTAACTTTAAATAATGCTTTTGTTTTAAAATTGGAAAGGAACTTTTATGTACCAAGTTTCTCACGAAACTTAATTTTTATTTCCAGACTCGTATCAATTGGATATTCTTTTAATTTTCAAGACACATCATTTCGTTTATTATATAAATCTGATTGTGTTGGGAAAGGTATTTTGTCTGATGATTTTTATCGTATTTTCTTACAAAATTATGACACTCAAAGTTCAATACATGTTCACGCTAGTCCTAAAAGGTGTAATATTAATGAGAACTCCTCTATGTTATGACATCAGAGATTCGGACATCTCCATAGAGAGAATTAAGATATTAGTTTATGATGGGGGTACTTAGTATTCATGATTTTACTAATTTTAAGACTTGTGTGGACTGTATTAAGAGAAAGCAGACCAATAAATCCAAAAAAGATACTAATAGGAGTTCAAATATACTAGAGATCATTCATACTGATATATGTTATCCAGACATGGACACATATGGTCAGAAATACTTCATCTCATTTATAGATGATTACTCACGATATATGTATATTT